TTTTTTTTTCAATTTTTCATTTCTATAAAATTTGAAACAATTTTTTATTCCTTTTAGAATAGCTGAATTTTGATATTATTTTTTATAAAATACAAATGTTTTATTTTCAATCTTTAAAATTTTCTAATCACTATTTATAATTTTTTTATATTTATTTAAAATAGATAAATAACATTTATTTTATAGATATTAAAATTTAGGTATCACAAAATAACATTGTATTATAACAATAGATATTTTATTTTAACACATGAATTGTTAAGTACTATTACTAAGATAATATTAACATAAAAAATAAAAATTTGCAAATTAAAAACAATTTTTTAAAGATTTATTATTCATACAAACAATTTTAATTGAGTTTCTAAATGTTTAATTTTTATATATTTTTTAATTAGCCGTTTTTGATTAATCTTTCCCAAATAAGTAACTTCTATTATTTTTATTAAACTTTGTATTAAATATATAGATCTAATTTGGAATTTCCTTTTATTGAATATTTTTCTTTCTAATTCGTTAATTCGTTATCTAGTGCACTTTAACAAAAATATTTCTTAAAATAATAATAAAACATTTCTATTTATGACAGCTTTGACCACAATTAATTCAAGTCATAAACAGTAGCAGCAGCAGTAGTACTCGTACTCGTTTCCAAAACGCTTCCGTTTTATATATATTCTTTTTTCTTTAAATACAATGTCGTTTCCCATTGTTGTGTTGAAAAATTAATTCCATAACCAACCACTCTCTCTCACTGTCTCCCTCTCTTTCTATCTATATCTAACAAAACGCCAACTCCATAACCAAAACGACACTCTCTCTCTCATATATACTTCAAACTTCATACACATAGAAAACTCCTTCTCCTTCTTCCGTGAACCTGTAACTGTTTTCCGCACTCTCAGATCTTCGCGCCGAACCTTTTCCAGTTCGATTCGCGTTCTTCGGATTTTCGCCAGAATGAGAGATTCAAGGTTATAGATTAAGATGCTACAGTATCAGTAACGGTAGCTTTTCGGAAAAGAAGAACACAACAATGGAGGATAGAGGAAGCTCATTCGTTGCTGTGAGGAGAATTCCTCAAGGAGAAACCTGCCATTCAAATTCTGGTAAATTTCAGAACAAAATGAAAAATAGAAAAACGAAAATGCTTCGAAGTTTCTCGTTTATTTTTTGTTTTTTTTTCCGTTAATTTCGCTCTCTCTATGTATATTTGAAAGTTTTTTTTTCATTGTTCTCTTATTATAGGTTTAGTTTTTGTACTTGTACTTTGTATTGTGTTGTGTTGCACCTCCTCTTTCCTTTTGCTTTTTTTTCTCTTTCTCTCTCTTACTCTTTTCTGCAAAAATATAATATATATATTATTAAATTACCGTTAATTATTATAATAATAATAATTACTATTATTACTATCGAATATATGGGCCGGGATCGGGATCGAACCGTTTAGGATAGACCGAATCAAAACGCGAGTTGCGTGATGTTTGCTGCTATTCTTAATTGCATTGGTGGGATGCCGAATTCATTTTGTTAAATTATTTATTATTTTATTATTATTATTTTGTGTTTTGTTTTCAGAAAAATAACTTGTATAACTGTTGCAGTTAGAATTATGCAAATTCTGATGTTAGTTTGTGAGGCTTGGTTGTTCCACTAGATCTAGCGTTCGTGAAATTGGGTTTTGTTCGTATTGTGTATTGGAAAATGCTGTTCACGTGCTGTGTTTGAAGCTGGTTCCATTAGTTATGATTCAGAATAAAGCAGTGCTGAGATCTCCTATGATTAAGCGCTGCTGCGTTGGCTCTTTTTCATTATTATTGTTATTGTTAATGTGTGTTTCTCTGTTTAAGGGACGATGTGGCATGTGGGTCCACATCCAGGTATAGACTTAGTTTCTGGATTGACCCTGTGGGGAACACAGAAACTACTTGTTAAATGTTATGAAGGCATTTAGGATTGAATAAAACTCAGTTATGATGAAATTCTTACTCTATAGGAAAAGAAAATAAGAAATTGAAATGAATTAAGGTGCTTCTACAAGTTCACCAGCTTATCCATTAGTTCATTTATAAAGAAACTCTTTCATTTGGCTTCCCTGGATGTTGATTTTAATTTATAGAAAAAGTTTAATTCATTCCATCTTATTTTTCTTCTGTTCCATTGGTGCTTGTTGAGAAGTTTATCCAAATAGAGCTTTTTGGTGTTTATTGTATAAGCGCTTATGTGTAAGTGGCTTCTACAATTGGTCAATGAATAGAATTTAACTGCTTTTAGGTTGTTTGATGTCTTGATAAGCTTATCTTGAAGATCTTGTTGAAATAAGCTGACAACAATTTTATAGATAAGCATCAGAAATCATTATCAGAATCTTTGTAACACTTTTATAAGTACTTGTGTCATAAAATAAGCCTAAATTAGTTGTAAATAAAGTTTTATTGAGCTCCCCCTAAAGATTGAATGGCAGATTGTGTCTCTTTTTCCCGGCTATTGAAATTTCTGTACAGACCATAAGGGACTGTAGTTTGGGGAGATTGCAATGTTGGTTTTTTCACAATTTTGTATTTCTTTGTATTTTAAGGCTTTCCAGTTACGTTTATGAGGATTTGATTACAATAAATTGTAAATTCGGAAAGCTAAAAGAATGTTGCCACTTTCTGTGTTGTTTGAAGCACTGCTTGTTGATCCATTTACTTAGGATGAAATATGTAACATAAGATAAATTTGGGTAGAATGTTCGTTGATGGCAGTTTTTTTTGTTGCAGCTGAGGTTGTGGCAGGATCAGCAGCATGGCTTGGTCGAGGTCTGTCTTGTGTCTGTGTACAAAGAAGAGATAGTGATGCTTCTAACTCTTTCGATTTAACCCTCGCCCAGGTACTTTTTTTATATCAGTAGCAGCACTTAGTTTCTTGTTCAATTATCTCTGTTAGCAGTGTAAAGATACTACAATTTTTGTATAGAATAAATAAATAAATTAGCATATTATACATGGTGTGCAATATAAACATTTTACGATTTAGGTTTGTGCTGAATGATGTCTTACCAAATAATAAACATACTGTTAAATTGTATTTCTGGTTACGTGTTTCTTTTTTATTTGTTTGTATGTTTGTCATCCATATATTTTGTATGGTTTGGGAGTGCGAGGAAATTAAATCGTGACTGCCAATAGCTTGTCAGTTGTTGTGTATAGTGGTACCAAGAAACTCGAACTCCCTCTACCATATGAATTTTTGGATCACTTTCTTATTTTTCTGTTAAATATTGTTGTTGTTTATAATTATACAACATGGTGTTGAATTTCCAATTCTCAGGAGGAATGCTTACAGAGGCTACAGAGACGTATAGATGTTCCCTATGATAGTTCTATTATTGAGCACCAGGTACCTTTGATATTATTACTTTTTAAGTCTGTGAGCAATTGTGGCAACCATTACGATGTACACTTCAATCTGTGTACTCAGTTCTATCTGCTGTCGTTGGCTTATTGCTGTACGTGAAATCTTCAATGTCTTAATAGTGAAATTTACATATTTAGGATGCCCTCAGGGCTTTGTGGAATGCTGCATTTCCTGAAGAAGAGCTTCATGGCTTGATATCTGAGCAGTGGAAGGAAATGGGCTGGCAAGGGAAAGATCCATCAACAGATTTTAGGTACCTATTGTCCTCGTGTTCTTCACTACTGAGCTCTTTCCAGCTAATATTGTTAATGATTTCCTCTATATATTTGGCAGGGGTGGTGGTTTTATATCGTTGGAAAATTTTCTTTACTTTGCTAGGAATTTCCCGGTACGATATCTTTATGGGCTTTTCACTCTTATATGATTTGATAGATTACTTTTGTTGACCAAAATTAAAGTTTAGAATGGAAAGCATGATGAAAGAGAGCTCATCGTTAAGTAACATGGACATTGTATTAGTATTTGTATTTCTTTCAAGAGAATGGGCCTTTAGTTATTAGTTTCTAATATTGAAAGGGACTTCTGTAGAGATATAATGTTATTGTTGGGTATTGGTTTTTGAACAATGGGTATTTCTCACTCTGTAACGATTTCAGATGAAGTATGAATTCGTGTGTTTGAACTTTTTCCATGATAGAAGAATTGTGGCCATATATATTGTGTACGGTTTGTGTTTGCCATATATTGCATATTCTCTTGCTTTCTTTGAGATAAAGGTTCAGTAGCAAGTGAGATTGCAATATAAAGGGGAACTATGTTTCAATTAATTGATTTCTTTTTTTGCCTTTGTCTTTGTTTTAAAATTACACGTAAAGGAAGCTTTGATGACTCCGAAAGTAAACATATTTAATCCTATTTATTGCTTTAGGCCTTCCACAATCAACAATGATATGTGGACACTTCAACCTCTTATTTATTTTTCTCTCTTGCATCTTGTCATATCATAATACCTTTCTCATTATTACTTCTCTCCCTTCTTTGTCATTCTCTCTCAAGTTGTAGACTAGCTTTTGGTGTCCACAACATTATTGTTCCATAATTTACTATTGTAGCTAATCTAAAAGTTACTTTGTACATTTTCCTGTGAGACCCTCGGTACCGTATTAGTTTATCTTTGTAATTAATGTTGTTTTGGTCCCCGATAACTACACAAGTTTTTCTTAAATCTAATAACTTGTATCCATTCATTTTCTTTATCTTATCCTTTTATTTTTGTAGAAATCCTTCCAGGATCTTTTACGAAAGCAGGAAGGAGATCGATCAGTGTGGGAATATCCATTTGCAGTTGCTGGTGTTAATATCACTTACATGCTGATACAAATGCTGGATCTTGAAGCGGGTTTGTTACTTCTGTTGTTCTGATTTTTTTGTTTGCCGTTATAACTTCTTTGTTGTGTTGTTGTCACGTCTAAAATGAAGAACTGGGTCACGTCAAAAATCAAGTTCATTGAATACCCATGATAAAAGTCTACTTAATATTTAAGTGCTCTTTCAATTTGTATATGGACATTTTACTTTTGCATAAAGCCGTATAACAAAGGTCACCTGTTATTACTATCTGAGTCATTGATGGTACCATATTTTGATACATTGAATCAGTATGTGGATCAGAAGCATCTAATAATATGCTTTGCCTTTACAGTCAAGCCACGCAACCTGGTTGGAGCAACTTTTTTAAAATTCCTTGCAGGTAGCCGAACTCTCCCTTTTCAATTCTTTATTTTCGTCTTGTTGAATTTGGAAGAGGATCAGGGAGGGTTGAAATTCTAGTTAAATTGAAAAGGGATTATTTATTTATAGCTTTTACTTGCAAGTTGGAGCCTTCATTTTATGTTAAGCTTGCTGTTTGAGTAACTAAATTCATTCCTGTTTGTCTGACAGAAAATGAGTCAGCTTTTGATCTTCTCTACTGCATAACTTTCAAGCTAATGGATCATCAATGGCTTTCTATGCGGGCCTCATACATGGATTTTAATGTACGTATTCTATGACCTCAGCTTAATGTAGAAAATTTGTGGCACAGATAATTTTTTTCTTGTGTAGAAGTTTGATGAGAACAGAAAATTAGTAAAACTTCTCCATCTTTCAAAATAATTGAAAGATATCCTGGAACTGAAAAAACTAGTTTGAATATTTTTATGCGACGAGGAAATGCTCTGCATGAGCACTTCACTGAGTAACTGGCATGATCCTTTATGACTAAAATATATTTTTGGTTATTCATGTTTTTACTAAAATTCATATTGATCTTTTGTCTTCTAAAATACAAACGTTGGTAATTTTTCACTTAAATTTTGGTCCTTTTGTCTCTTAAATTCTGACAGGTAGTGATGAAAGCAACACGACGTCAACTAGAGAAAGAGATTCTGGTTGAAGACATAACGCGGCTTGAAGATTTACCCTCTTACAAATTACTCTCCCGATAGTATCAGTCTCCTATTTTTGGCCATGAGGCTTTTGTATATCATTCCATGCTCCTATCTTAATTTCCACTCCTCTTCTTAATTCAGCAATTTTAAGGACATTTCAGCGAGAATGAGCTATATAACATGTAAAACTGATGTCATGAGCTTAATTCCTTATACGTGATCTCAACAAGGTTTGAGATTCAGCAGTTAAGTTGAAAGATGATATTTGTTGCCTGAAATGTAGGTTTGCTTGCTATATTGGACACTTTTGATTTGTGATTTGTCACACTTTACCTATATATTTCCTTGCAGTATTAACGGGTAAATGCAGCTTGAGGTAATGTGTTTCAGAAACCCTTATTTCATTTTTATGACCTTGATTAATACACTCCATATTTGTTTGTCATAGAACCAATGCTGCATTTAATATATCTTCCAGAAACTCCTAGACATCAACTTTCAGTTTCATAGTTCTGTTCATCGGTCATTTTTTAAATAATAGCACATTTTCAAGGATAAATTGCACTCAACAATCAGTTACCATTAATATAATATGGAAGTATGATAATTCTTCCCATTATACAACTACCGTTGCATAGAAATTTAACAATGTTTCTAAATTTTAAGTTATTGTTCAGACTCGATAAAAACTATACTCTTTTTTGGGTTATGATCGCAAATACCTTTTTTATAAATTGTGATCATTGTAGTAACAAATTAATGAAAAATTACCAATATCGTTATTTATCAACATTCTACTCTATTATATAAAGCATTTTATAATTTTTGGTTAATATATCTAATATTGTATCTATCTTAAATATACAGAAATTGTCGTGTATCAGTGTCCTATTAAGTATACGTCTTTCATAGGAAAAAATATTACATGGCATTATCATATAAGGATGATAATTAATAAGGATATCAATTATAACTAAACTTTAATAAATTTTGTAATTATAACGTGTTCCCTCCAATTTGAACAAAAAGAGAGGAAATAATATAAAAGAAAGTACTATAATCGTGTAAAAAGACAATCATTCATATATTGCTGTTTTCTTTCCTTGGTCACTGTTTGCTTTAATTTATAATCATTCTTTTATATTTTTTTTATCATGAAAAAATTTAAATGTATTTTTCAAAATATATTTCACTTAAAAAATTAACTTTTAAACTTCATTCTTAGTTAGAGGTATTTAGGTTATTTATACATCTACTTTTGTATGTACTTTATTCAGTTAATCTAAAAAAAAAAAAATCATTTCTACTTTTCTCTTACTTTTTTATGGTTTTATTTCACTTTACTGGATGAACTAAGCAATAACTTTGATCTTGTCCTTAATTTAAAAAAGAAAAAATCATTCGCAGTAATCAGCACATGAAAAAAAACATTCACAACTTACTCATGTTACTTATCGAAGTTATAACAATGTTAAATTGCATTGAATTAATATCATTTTGTTTTAGCTTACGTGCATATATGAGGGGGGAAAAACTAAACTAAATCTTCTACAAAATTAGTTTGCACGTAAATTAAATAAATTAATTTTCCCAATACTTCCGATTTATGATAAATAGTTTTTTCCTTCTATAAATGCTTTTAAAAATGTCATGTATTAAGATCATGCCGACTTAGCAAAGCAACTTAACAAAATACAGTAGCGATTTGAATAAAAAACATTAGATATTAGTAAAATTGAGAATCGTTAAGTGGGATGGGGGAAAAGTCGTAGTTAATAGTTAATAAATTTAATTATATAAAATTTGAGCAATTATAACATATGATTTCTTAAAGGACGAAAGCATACTTTCAAAATAATTAAAAATGTTATCTGATCATATCTGGTCTTAGCATACATAATTGTACGTGAGTGATTTTGAAAGGCACACGAAGGTTCCTTCTATGATGATCATAGTGATAATAAGACAAGAATATTATTGAAGCTTTTGTTATTGAGTGTTTTGATATTCTGTCTCAAACCCTTTTTCATTTTACTTTTCCCCTAACATTAACAAGGGTGCCTACCAATATTTGTTGTGGCCACATGCTATGATTTAGAGCAGAATTCTTACCCACTCATAATTATTATTAAATCTGTCCCGTTTTGTTAGCTTTAATAAAATATTGCTAACAAAACTATTATTGTACAAATTTTTATCTATTATTGTAGTTATTATTGTTTTGAAAGAAATCAGAGTTTTAAGCGATTTATAAAACTCCTTCCAAGCTTTAAATTACCATTCCAAGCAAATTATTTAAACTAAATTTGAATGAGATAACGTGTGCATAGAAGATTCAAACTAAACAGCATTGCATCATCTCAAGCAAAAACATACAAACGATAAGCTAAAGCAAAACTAGTTTGAAATTTTGATTTATCAGACTGTGATCATGTTTCAACAGACATAGCATAAGCAGAGACTTGAGATACAAAACCAAGGTACCAAACTCTAACAAAAGCCCAGAAATGGACCGAAACAGAACATGTAGATTAGATAATCTGGATCATCCTTTGGCAAGCAACTTCAAGATCAACTTGAAGCATATGGTTTACTCATAGATCCAAGAGTGTTGGGAGCTTTGCCAGTTAACAGAGCCATCAGGGAACCACAATGCAATTTCCTTGCGAGCACTCTCAACTGAATCACTTCCATGGATAACATTCCTACACAAGAACAACTTCATCAGAAAAAGTATCAAACTTCCCTCAAATTAACCAATTCAATCAATTAATAAAAAAGAGAAACACNTTATCTTATCCTTTTATTTTTGTAGAAATCCTTCCAGGATCTTTTACGAAAGCAGGAAGGAGATCGATCAGTGTGGGAATATCCATTTGCAGTTGCTGGTGTTAATATCACTTACATGCTGATACAAATGCTGGATCTTGAAGCGGGTTTGTTACTTCTGTTGTTCTGATTTTTTTGTTTGCCGTTATAACTTCTTTGTTGTGTTGTTGTCACGTCTAAAATGAAGAACTGGGTCACGTCAAAAATCAAGTTCATTGAATACCCATGATAAAAGTCTACTTAATATTTAAGTGCTCTTTCAATTTGTATATGGACATTTTACTTTTGCATAAAGCCGTATAACAAAGGTCACCTGTTATTACTATCTGAGTCATTGATGGTACCATATTTTGATACATTGAATCAGTATGTGGATCAGAAGCATCTAATAATATGCTTTGCCTTTACAGTCAAGCCACGCAACCTGGTTGGAGCAACTTTTTTAAAATTCCTTGCAGGTAGCCGAACTCTCCCTTTTCAATTCTTTATTTTCGTCTTGTTGAATTTGGAAGAGGATCAGGGAGGGTTGAAATTCTAGTTAAATTGAAAAGGGATTATTTATTTATAGCTTTTACTTGCAAGTTGGAGCCTTCATTTTATGTTAAGCTTGCTGTTTGAGTAACTAAATTCATTCCTGTTTGTCTGACAGAAAATGAGTCAGCTTTTGATCTTCTCTACTGCATAACTTTCAAGCTAATGGATCATCAATGGCTTTCTATGCGGGCCTCATACATGGATTTTAATGTACGTATTCTATGACCTCAGCTTAATGTAGAAAATTTGTGGCACAGATAATTTTTTTCTTGTGTAGAAGTTTGATGAGAACAGAAAATTAGTAAAACTTCTCCATCTTTCAAAATAATTGAAAGATATCCTGGAACTGAAAAAACTAGTTTGAATATTTTTATGCGACGAGGAAATGCTCTGCATGAGCACTTCACTGAGTAACTGGCATGATCCTTTATGACTAAAATATATTTTTGGTTATTCATGTTTTTACTAAAATTCATATTGATCTTTTGTCTTCTAAAATACAAACGTTGGTAATTTTTCACTTAAATTTTGGTCCTTTTGTCTCTTAAATTCTGACAGGTAGTGATGAAAGCAACACGACGTCAACTAGAGAAAGAGATTCTGGTTGAAGACATAACGCGGCTTGAAGATTTACCCTCTTACAAATTACTCTCCCGATAGTATCAGTCTCCTATTTTTGGCCATGAGGCTTTTGTATATCATTCCATGCTCCTATCTTAATTTCCACTCCTCTTCTTAATTCAGCAATTTTAAGGACATTTCAGTGAGAATGAGCTATATAACATGTAAAACTGATGTCATGAGCTTAATTCCTTATACGTGATCTCAACAAGGTTTGAGATTCAGCAGTTAAGTTGAAAGATGATATTTGTTGCCTGAAATGTAGGTTTGCTTGCTATATTGGACACTTTTGATTTGTGATTTGTCACACTTTA